TGGGTTGAATGCCCCAACGAGAACGGTATGGCATACCCCCACGCACCCCGCACCCACGCAGAGGGGTAGAGTGGGCCTTTCTTTGATCTAGACCATTTTGAAGCCGTTAACCTTTTCGAGCCCGAGCTATAACTCTTGCTTACTCTTAACTCTTGACTGTAGAATATACAATTCCTGTACTCGCTTGTAACGTTACTTTTTTGTGGTTCTTCGTCGAGTGTAGCCTTTTCATTGAGACCATTTTAGTGTGGTTTTTTGTTTACCAAAACTGTGTAGAGTCAGAGAAGATTTGTACGTCAATCCCTATCTTCAGAAAAGTATAGTCTCACTGATTTGTAAAGTCGCATTTTGCAGATCGAACAGGATGAGCAGTACCAATTACGCAACAGTGGATGAGCTAGAGGAAGTCATTGATCTAACTCATCCACAGACGTCCCAAAGTGAAGACCAGAGAGTCTCCTCTTTCCCTTCTGATGTTCGAACTCCTATACTGACATCGTCATGTCATGATAAGTCACAAATTACTTCGGTCATGGACGTGAAGGAGACCAAGTGGCTCCCAAAGACTTCTGTTATTGGGATTATGAGAGAGTCTGCGTCTGTCATGTACCATGTTTGTTCAAGAATGATGGCAGAGAGCCTGCAATCTCATAATTCTCTCGTTATTTCCATGCTTGAAACAAGTGAAGATGGCGTTCTGCATGTAATCCGCGGTCAGACAAGCAGTCAGGTTTTAAATCAATTGGTTTATCGCTTCAAGGCTAACGGAAATTGGGATGGGCGCGTTCCATTTCTGGAAAGCAGCGAAATCATGCAGAAGCGGAGATACAAGTGCCTCGGAGTGAAGCATTGTGCGCTGGTACCATCTTCATTTAGCGGGAGAAACCATGGAAATAGTGAAACGTTTGAGCAGCTTCTTTCCGAACAGAGGGAGAGGAAGGATGGTAGCGCTTCTGCGAAGCATACCGCTAAGCGTTTGGCAAGGACTTTGTTTTTGTCGGTACAAAAAAAGTCAACAGTGCGGGTGGGTATTGTCAATACATCAGGACTCCAACTGCATCACAAGGAGCTCCAGGGGTAGTGAAAAAATGTCGAGGAGTCCCTAAATTAAGGAAAAACAGATCCACTGGAGAATATTTCCTTGGTTGTTCTGGTTTTCGAAAGGGAGATGGGGATAAACGGTCTAGCATCGAAGGTTGGGCGTCGCCGAAGCACTCATCTCAATCTCTACATGCGTTGACAGATGAGGCTCTGGTTGAATTGCAAGAGATGTTACATAGCGGGAGAGTCGCAGACTGCAGCAAAGAGGACTGTATGTTCTTCCTCAGCAAGGGAAAGAGAACTGCTCAATGTCCGGATCACGGAACATCTCTTATCGAGACTGGGGCTTGCCCTGTAAAATTAATCCTCATGCAACCGGTCGGTCAGGTGTCGTGCCATACCGCGGTCTACAAAAGAGGTGATATATTGCGAGGACTGCCTCGAGAACAAAACACAATTTGTTTTGCCTACTTTCAAGGAATACACAACCATCCCCCGCCACCCCCGCCTGTATCCTCTTTCGCGAAAGATACTCTTATTGTTGAAGAAGCTCGCAAGTCGAGAGGAGCCCCCGCAGCCCACATCAAATTGGAGGTTCAGAAGAAACTATTGCATAGCTTTGGAGCTAGAGGTTCCGGGGTTTCTGTAAGTGACCACAGAATTTACGATATCTGCACGGCAATGCAATCTGGCGCAAAAGAAAGAGAAAGCATTGGAACTTTGTTTGAAATGGCAGCGGATGAGAGAAACGAATATGTGAGAGAAGCCAGAACTGTGGAAAAAGGAGGAGCGGTGGTTCTTTTAGCAACTAATTCAATGATCGCAAAAGGAGCGACGTCATCTAGCTTTGCCGGAGATGCGACCTTCAAGACATTGGAAAATGACGTTTCTATGGTGAAGGTTGTCATGTCGACAAAAGAAAGTTTCAAGCCATTTCGATTGTCGGCTAAAGTTTCGTGGTATTTATACAATGTTGTAGCACAAGCTCATCCCGGCCTATCAGGAACGAAGGGAATTGTCGTCGCCAGATTCATGATGAACCGACTTACGCGTGATTCGTACTGTATGGGATGGAAACTGTTCCTGGATCACATGCAGACATACTGGAGAAGAGCTGTGAGTGCGCCGCAAAGTTTATGCTTAATACGCGTACCATACGTGTTCAATGTAGACCAATGCGGGATCCGGTGCATCGAAATCAGGTCAATAACTACTGACTTCGATGCCGCCGAAATAGAAGGAATTGCCCTGGCCCTTCAATCGACAATCGGAGGTTCAGCACGTATGCATGTGGAAAACATCATGATTGGTTGTACTGTTCATTTTGACAGGGATGCAAGGCGACGAGCGGCCCGACTACCGGTGAATATCAGAGATGTGTTCTATAGAACGATGATGAAAATGCGCAACTGCAGAAGCGTTATGGAGGCAAACGAGGCTCTGGACTACGTCAGATCGCTGGACAGGTCTTGGGCAGATTGGGTACTAAAATACCCCTTCAAGACGTTGGCAATTACAGCGTTTTCAAATATGGCTGATCAAAATTTCCGCACTGGATTTCAGGACACAAACATCGTTGAGAGCCAAAATAGGAGAGGACATCACATCTGTGGCGTGCAGATTAATCCAGCCATTGCCGCCAAACGACTCGAAGATCTCGACAACATTTCAGTCGAGGAATCGCTTGGATTGGATAGCGGGGTTGGCGCGTACAACATCCTTCGCAAGCGACAGCGGTTTGACTCTTTGGTTGCCCCATCTGGATCGAAATCTCCGCAGAAAAAACAGAAGAGATCCAAGTTTCTTGGTAATATCCCAGGCAGTTCCGAAAGAAAAATTAAAGCCTCCGTATCTCGTTCAGACACGAAGCATAAAAGTCGGAACACAATGAAGGGAGACTTGTTGGAAATGAAAATGATTCAGAAGAATGTAGCTGAGGCAATGAACGAAATTGTCGAAGAAGCTTCAGCTGTACAGATGGAAAAGCTTACCGATCTGACAATGAAAGTTGAAAATGCGTTATCAGCATTTGATGCCCGAATTGAGATTCTGAGTTGCCTGAAGGAAGTAACACAGGATCTTCTCCTGCGCAAAGTTATCTCGACGTTGTTCTTGAAAATTAAAACGAGTGGCGACGATATCAAGAATGCTCAAGGCTTGGAAAAGAATGATTCTGCCGTAAACTGTATTGATGTTGATGCTTCTGATAGAGATCTCTGAGTAGGCACGAAAGTAAAATGGTATCGAGACTTATGTGTTGAAGCTATCTGTGCTATCCTATTGAGTCCCATATTTCTTCTGAAGATCACCCAGCGACCTACGGACTTTGAAAAAGCGTATAGTCCTGTTAAAAGACTGACTAAACTACCACTTCGAGTATGGAACGCCCTGTTTCATGGGTCCTATACTCATGAATTGAGTAAGCCACCTGTTTTCAGGGTCGATGTTTGCATTTGTCCTTTGCTGAGGTGGTTAATGTTAAGTGAGCAGCAGGCAAATGTTAACTTGTTTACGGAATATGTAGTGTCAACCTCATTTTGAATATTGAATACCTTTTCTTGGGGGTTCGAAACTCATTATGAGTTTCGAACCCCTTTTTTTGGTATTCGAAACTCATAATGAGTTTCGAATACCTTTTTGTGGGGGTTCGAAACTCATAATGAGTTTTGGGTCCCTTTTGGAGTTTCAATACACATGAAGAGAGCACAGTAGGTATGTAGCCACGATCAAGCGTCTTTGCCATAGAAAAACACTCACTATCTTGAAGTCGCATTAAGTATATTAAAGTTTGCAGGATGTTGCCTTCTCATTTGCGCTTTATTACTAAGTAATTTAATCTCATTAGCGCAGCGTAATCCGTGACAGCTTCACCAATGGTAGAGAACTGGACTTTACAGATCGAACTCATGAGAATTGTTAAAACTTCATCTATTTGTATGATTTACCAAGATTGTATCGATTTTTCACTACCGAAAACAGTCCAGTTTATATCATCCAGAAGATCAAGTGCGGTACATAGGTAATATAGAGTGTCCATGCGCATGCAGCAGTGGAAATGGTATTCTCTATTGATTTGCCCAGTAGCGGGAACATGTTTACTAGAAAATTAGACGGGTGGTCAATGTTTACCCAGTGGCAAGTAAATGTTTACTAGAAAATTAGACGGTTGGTCAATGTTTACCCAGTGGCAAGTAAATGTTTACTTGTTGATCGGGGGTCAATTTTTACCCCGTGGAAAGTAAATGTTTACTTGTTGGCAAGTAAATGTTTACTTGTTGACGGATATTTGGACTGGACAGGCGGAGTGCTGTGATAGGTTGCAATACTTTGAGTTTTTCAAGAAATTCAATGGCTTCTTTTGCCCCTACTGTAATTGAGTTTATTGAGAATTGTATTAAAATCACGGTGCATATCGCGTATGATAAAAAACTTTATTTACAACCAGGGAGAACCCGGGGGGGGGAGGGGTCGTGGTAGATGTGATGGTGTTTGGTATTTTGTGTCGCTTCGGTTTGGTTGAGAACGCTGCGGCAGTGGTGCATGTGGGGTCTGTATTGCGGTCGTAGGGCGCAAAGTTGATGGTGCGGACTGTTTGGTATGTTCGCGTAACCAGATTGTAGACTTTGACATGTTTGGGGTCTATGTCGTACATGTACCTGACCGTTTGGGCACGTGGTTGCAGTTTCTGTTTGGGTGTTTTGAGGATAGGCACTGTGCCGAGCTGGCCGAATATGAGCAGTTTGTCGATGTCAGGCGGAGTGCCATGCCAGAGTGTGTATGGGATGTTCTGTATTGCGTGATGGTAGCTTATGTTGTATTTGAATACGGCATCTCGAACCGCGTCTTCCCAGTATGCCGGGGGCAGCTTGCTGTGTGCTAGAGCAGCTCTGGCCGAGTTCATTATGGTCCGGTTTATGCGCTCGGCTAGCGCGTTCTCCTGTGGTGTGTAAGGCGTTGACGGGCGGAATTGTATGCCGCGCTTCGCGAGGAACTGCTGAACGTACTTTGCGGTGTATTCTTTCGCGTTGTCGGTCGTGATGATTGTGGGGTACTTGGTTAGGAAGCGTGCGAGTGCTTCAATTGACGTTGTCAGGATGTGTGGGACTTGGGAACGTGCTGCCAGGAAGGAGATGAATGTGTAGCGGGTGGCCGTGTCAATGAGCGTTATGAAGTACTTGTTGCGCTGCATTGAGTTCGGTGTGATAGGACCGCAAACCTCCGATGATATGCTGTGGCCTATTTGCGTTTTGTGCTGTGCGCGGTTGTGCGGCGCTGCGGTTGTCTTGCCGTCGACGCAGCCGGTGCATGTTATCTTCGGTGGGTTGTGGTGGAGCTGTCGCGGTAGTGTGGGCAGCAGACCCTGGCGGGCCATGACGGCGATGGAGCGGGGACGGAGGTGACCGAGGCGCAGGTGCCATTCGTGCATCAGCTTGTGTTTGTTGCTGGGTGGGGTTGTTGGGGGTGTTGGGGCTCTGTTGCGGAGGTGGTTGTCGGTGTGCATTGGTGGTGTGAATCGGGTGGGTGTGGTTGTTGTTGGGTGTTTGGGACGAGGGGGTGGTTGGGATGAGGGGGTGGTTGGGATGAGGGGGGTTGGGATGGTGGCTGTGTTGGTGTTGTTGAATGGGGTTTATTGCGTTGTGTGGCTCTTGTTTTGTGGGGTGTGCTTCGGGCTGCTAGCACATTCCCTATGGGGCTATGGTGGCCAGGGGGCGGCTTGTTGCAGGTGGCGATGCGGTATTGACCTTGTTGGTAACGGGCTGTTAGTAGCGCCGGGGGCAATGGTGTTGGGTCGTGGAGCGTTGCTTTGGATGGTGTGAAGGTGATATGCCCGTGTTTAGTGAGGTCCTTGACGAAGAGTAGGTTGTGGTGCTGCTTGGGGACGCAGACAGTTTCGGTTGTGATGGGTTTAGGCGTCCGCTTGATCGTCATCTGACCATGTTGTGTTATGGGGCAACTCTGTCCCGTGGCGGTATATGTTAGTTTGCCTTTGGTGGCGCGCAGGTCGGAATGGGTGTTGTTGACATGCGTGGGGTATGCTCCCGAGTCTAGGATGAAATTGATCTTACCTGGGTGCTGCGTGTCGGTTTGTTGCTGCTGGGTGAGCGCTTGCTCGAGTTGCGCTAGGCGCGTGTGAAGGTCGTGGAGGTAGTTGGCGTCTTGGTTGATGTCGTCCTGCTGTGTGTCGTGTCTGTGTTCGGTGAGGTTGGCTGTGTACGGCGAGCGACGTTGGAATTGGAGGGAATAGCATTGGTTAGTGTCGTGCGTGATGCTTCCATGATGGATGCACCATTTGCCTGACCATCCTTTGGGTCTTTGGTGGTTCCTCGGTTGCTATTGCGGGCGGGGTGCCCGGCGGAAGGGCAGCTGGGGTTGGTATTGCGGTCGTTGGTTGTAGGGTGGGCGAGGCTGGTAGGGTTGACGTTGCGGGGGTCGCTGGACGGGTTGGGGGTGCTTGCGGCGGTGACGGTGCTATCGGTGGGGCGGCTTCCTGCTGCTTGTGTTGCATCAACATGACTTGACGGACATGGTTGGTAAATTGTCGAATGGTATCCGGGGGGTTACCGGCAAGCAGTACTGCGATCATTGCGAGGTTGGGGTGCGCACTGAGACCTTGAAGCAGGTAGTTGACTGTTGTTCTTTCCTTGGTGATGTTGGGGTAACTTGCGTTGATCATCTTTTGGCGAATGTCTAGATGCGTTTCTACGTACGCTGAGAAATCAGAACCAGGGAGAAATTTGTTAGATCGCGCCTCGACATCGAGGACTTCGTGGTTCTCAATGTTAGTGTCGTGGATGTTCGCGCGGATGCGCTCGCATATCGTGTAGAGAGATTCGCGGAGGATCGTGGGGGGTAGACGGGCAACGATGGCGGCTGGTAGGGTGGAGATGATCATGCGGCGGATTTGATCGGCATGTTTGTTGCGTACAGCTGTGATCGCAGGGTCGGTGGTGGGTGGAACGTTGGCTTCGAGTAGGTATGCGGCGTTGTTGGTGCGGGCGTGGACGAGAAGGGCGTCATACCAGTACGGATAGTTGGTAGGGTTGAGGTTCGGGAGTTGATCGTTGGTGTTCATTGTGTTGTAGGGTGGGTGTGGTTGCGTTGTGTCGGTTGGTGTGTGGTTGTCTTTTGCTGTGAGTTGCGCTTGATGTGCGAGATGGGCTGTGTGTTCGGTGAGTTCTTGGTAATAGGCGCGTCGTTGCGCTCTGATTGTTCTTGCTGTTGGTTTCGTTGTGGTTGGAATGGTTGTTGGACTGGAGGTCGCAGTGGTTTGGTTAACGGGGGCCCATGACCTGTGACGAAAGAGTCTCGTGCCTCCCTCCGGCCCGGCACCGCCGGCCGGGGGGACGGCGAGCTTTTATTCAATCTGGACAGCTAGGGCCACACTAATTGGTGTGGCCTTTGTGGGGCATCACACTGTCCATTGTCACTTTAATTAACTCTTCCCTTTCTCGAAATTCCCTGAAATCTCACAAGCAGCGCTGCACTGGGTTTGGCTCCACGTTACCGTCAACAGCTTGCTTCGGCAAGGGTGATATCATCGCACCGCCCGTTATTGCGATATTAACAAGGACATTTGTTGCAGTCAACATGAGCGATTCTTGTGCTGAAGACCTCATGAAGGTGGCAATTGACGAGGCGTGCCGTGGTATGTTCACTGTTGCGCTCTGTTTTGACATGAAGACGCTGCGCATCAGCCGGACGTCACTTCTGACCTTATGGGGTGCTTCAATGGACGGCTACTTCAGGAGTTGATCTTACCAATTTTTGAAACACTCCTGCGGTGCATGTTTAGGTGTCACAATGGGCGAGGGTGGCCCGTTCGGAGCTGTCGTAGCACGAAACGGGGAAATCATATCGAGGGGGCACAACCAAGTCTTGCAAACCAATGACCCAACGGCACACGCCGAGGTAGTGGCCATCCGCAAGGCATGCGCGAAGCTAGGCCGATTCTCCCTTCACGACTGTGTCCTCTATTCGTCATGTGACCCATGTCCGATGTGCTTCTCTGCAATCCACTGGGCTAAGATCCCTCGCTGCGTCTATTCAGGCTCTCCAGATGACGCAGCTGCAGTCGGCTTTGACGATCGTTTTTTGTATGACACACTTCAGGGCAAGGCAGAGGAAAAGAAATGTAACTTTGAGGAAGAAAAGCACCCCGATAGTGACATTCCGTTCAACCTCTATATCAAAGCGCTCGCTATGGACAAGTCAGGAAGGTATTAGATGTGTTTTGTCTTATCTCACTCGCACGTGAATGCACCAAAATCTCCTCATGAATATTCGTCCCAATCATACTCTTGCGCTTCGTCCCACATGGCTTCCATGTCTCTCCTCCACTTAGTACCGGTGTTTCTCATTTTGATGCAACTGGCGGGATCCACTGTCTCCAACCCGTCCCCAGCACCAGCTTTGCAGTCTACAAGAATTGCGATAGGTTCATTTGCAAGACACCAGACTAGACGATAGCCCACGCGTGCTGCCACCTCAGTCAAGGATGTCACGCTCGCACCCGAGTAGTCATGCCCGATACCTTGTGCACCTTCCAAGCGTTCACTGAGCGTACCCCTGCGCAAAGAGGTCCTGACTGCTTTGACGTGAGAGCCCCAGTAATCTTCATATCTGACCACAAGCACCCTGGGCTTCAAGCTGGCATTCAAACTCGACATGATTGCAATGTCGTCCCCGCCATGTGCAAACAGTACCACCAAGTCCACGACGCCACCAATACCGACTGTGCGAGTTGTCGCGGGTAGCCCGGTACTTACCACGCGTCCTGCGTCTAGTACTTGTACTCCAGCTTCTGACCATCGACTGAGCGCATGGGTAGCCTTCTGCTCATACCACCTCTGAGCTGCATCGTATCCCGCCCAGCTTTCAACCAAGGTTACGACACGCCAGCCTTGATGAACGGCAAACATTGTGCAAATTTTCGCATCATCATTAGAATGAAGTTCCACCGCAATTCGGTTACGCGCTCCAATAATCGAGAAGATATACAGCAAGACTCCATCCGTGTGGGTATTTGCGTGAAGTGAAAACTCCAGGGATCTACGCCCACGGCGGGAGAGCGTAGGGAGGCAATTGGTGTGTGATAGGAGGGAGGATGAGAGGCGACGAACGACGGCATGCCTCGGGGATAGCGGAATTGTGTCAACGGACGACGAGGCAGATATGCCGAGGTTTTGGATTACATGAAGCAGAAGTGCATGTGCTTGTCGTGTAGCAGTGCAATTTCGCACCAAGAAACGCTGAAATACTAGCCATTGAAGATAGACAGTGAGGGCAGACAGAGTGAGGACGATGAAGAATTGAAGGCGGGCGCGCTCTAAGCGCATTGTAGTTTTCTTGCAGGATGAAACGCATTGCCACTAAACAGCAGAAGTTGCACAATGTGCCGCGATCATTCGCAGACCTGTGTTTAACATGGATACCAATGTGAGCATATCTGAATTATTGTTTTTTTTTTTTTTTTTTTGTTCCCTGTTTGTACGCTTGGTAGCATCCGGATTTACTGTACAAATGAGTCCTGACTTTCTGATACTGTGCTGCCGCTTTGGCGCAATCCTTCTATCCCTGCCAACAGAACTGCTGCCTTATCAGGTCAGCAGCAAGGGATCCCTTATCCACCGTGGGAACGGCGTGTTTGTAAAAGATATGGAAAGCGAGCAAGTGGTCGATGGCATCGCGCAGGCAGCCAAGGATGTCTCCCTCGAGGCCACAACCTCGGAAATGGAGCTCAAGCCGATCCACCTCATTGTCATGGTGATCACCCTACTGCATGCTGTTTGCATTGGCCTTTGGTTTCTTGTGTATCTGGGCGGAGCGAAAGGTACGTTTTTGTGAACACATTCTCATTCCTGACTTCAGTTTCGGGGTCAGCCCTGTGGCTTCTATTGACGAACCTTGACTTGCTTTGAATCTGGTTTTCGTAGATGGGACGGGCGCAGTGCCGGCCGAAGAATCTAGGGCTTCGACGTCTTCAAAGACTACGACAGGGGCTGGAGCATCTTCAAGTGATGCAGGGAGAGAAGACGTGAAACCGGAAGACAAAAAAACACAGTGATATCGTATCGTCTACGTTGTTTGTTCCTACTAAACGAGTGGCATGCGGTGGCAATAGTCAAATAATTGACATATTCGTTGTTGTTTTGGAACCAAAAGGAGTAGAACAGTCGGAACGGACGAGCACAAAAGCTAAAAAGGACGACGGAAGCACGTCGGGGGTATAGTTTAGGGAAAGAACAATCTCTTTTGGTTTTTACCATCACATTGGTGCTGGCCGCAATAGCAATACGTAGAGTAATAACCACACAGGCCGGGGCTGCTTTTCGAGCGTGGCCAAATGATGCATTATACGTGGTGGTCGTGGCAACTTGTGGCTAATGTATCAAAATGGGTGGAAAGTATCGACAGAGGCGCGACGTCTGCCCTGCTATGGCTAATAGAAAACGACACCTCCAGGAATCTTCGTCCCGATTCTTACAGGGGATCTCGTATTCCTCTGCGTACTCGTCCAATGACCACCAATGGTGAAGCCTGTCCCCTTTTCGGTACCTGGAGGTAGGGCCTTGGCAATGCTTAACCAGTTCGGGGAGCTACCTGCGCAAACAGGGTATTGTAGCATCGAATTGCGAGCCTTGTCGCTGCTGGAGGGCGTAAGACGCATGGCCACGGATCTATTGAAGGTTTCATTTGTGCGCCAACAGCCTTTGTAGTACTGGTAAGGAACAGTGAAATCTCCAAAGTTCTCGTGGTACTCGTCGGATTGGACAAACCAGTCAATGCATGCGTCATAGCCTTTCGAGTGATAGACATTCATCGCAGCGGCATATTCATTCTTTGAGGAAGGTGCACGGGCGAGGAGATGCTTGAATGCAAGCTCTATGAAACGGTACTGGGAGACGGGGTTAAAGAAGCGCGAACTGTAGGCGTGGGATTTAGCGATGGCTGCGACGAATGCGCGGACATTTCCGGTTTGGCAAAAAGTGGCTTCGGGTGCAGCGAGCTCGGCGCGTTCAGACTCCATGAGATAGGCGTTGCCCAAGACTTGATTGAACACCGCGGAAATCACGTCGGCTTTGTCAGAAGGCATGGAGGTTGGAGCTGGCGTGAGAACACCGTCAATGGAGGAGAAGGCCATGGTGATGGCAGGCGTGCGACGGGCCGCACTAGTTGTGCGGAGAGCGATGGACGGACATAGTGGAACAGCGCTGGCTTGTAAGAAAGACGACGAATGGGAAACGGCAGCAGGAGAAGCGAAGGCGCTCATGTTGTGGCGCGGCATGATTCCTTTGGGTTCGGAGGGCTCCGGGAGGATGACACTGAAGGAAGGCAAGCCGTGTGCCGATGAACACTCATAATTGGAGACGGGTATTAGACATGAGTTGGTTGGCCATGAGGGTTTTGCTCCCGCTGCTCGGAGAGTTCGTGATCTCACGATGAAAGTGGATTTATTCGCCCGTACGCACGTCTTAATTTATCCAAAAAAAATCCAAAAAATAGATATATGCGAAAAAGGCGAAAAAGTAACATATAAATAATGAACAGTTTCACCCGTTAGCACAAATCAGGACGCAGAGTCCTGGGGGGTCTATGGTCTAGAGGTAAGATTCTTGCTTTGGGTGCAAGAGGTCCCGGGTTCGATTTCGAAAGAGTTCCCCGGTAGTCCCCGTAAGCGCTCGTGAAGCGCTTTTTTTTTACTTGGGATTGGGACTCGGGATGCCGCGATTTTACTCCTTTCTCCGCAAACGCGCCACGACAGCCGACCGACGTTTCCTTACCTTGATACCCATGTGTAGTGATTCGCTTCAGACCTTATGCAGCATTTGCATCATGATGCCTTTTCATGAGGCCTTTTCATGACTGGCGTGTCCTTCATGCCCTTTTGCCTCAAAGGCCTCTGCACATATTTTCATTCCAGAAGCGTGCAGCAGATCAACTTTCAACGCGGGGGAGATGGGCGTCAAGTCGGCAGGTAGGATAGCTAATGTACTTCAGAAGCAACTTTTTCTGTAGGATTGACCAGGCAAGCGAATGCATCCGCCGTAAGCAACGGGCGTTCTTTTTTGCATGTTCGCATACTCTAGAAAGGATGTGGACCACTCTTTGAGGTTCTGCAGTGTCCACCGAAATCCATGGCAGGGGTGCTAGCATTATCGGAATTGTTTACCCAGACAACAGACATGCTTACTTTACCCAGCAACAGTGGCCTGCTTCTCCTTCCACCGTCTGGCGGCCTTCAACAGCAGCAGGCCCGTTTCCGCAACATCCTCCTCCTGTTCAACAATAGTGACCCAATAGTCTTCCCACCCAATGTGTGTACCATCAGCTGATATCCTCGGCCTCTTTCGCCGCACCCTCTTCGGCAACCAACTTTGCGCCTTCGCAACATCCCCGCTTTCGCTTCTTTCCCACAGCACCCAAGCCTCTACCATTGTCCTCAACTCTTCAGCCCACTTCCCACCATGTTCCACAGCCCGTCCTCGCAGTTCTCGCGCTCCCCTCTCCCAAACATCCCTCCCCGCAACCGTCCCGTATTCAACCCACGCTCGCGCCCCGCTACACTCCTTTGCATACCTCTCATAAATCTCTCGCATCTCGTCCAACCCCTTGATTTCCCTTTCCGCAGCCACATATCTCGCCCACATTTCCTCTCCCCCAACCCCTGCTTCCACGGCAACGCCCAGCACACCTGCCGCTCGCGCCAGTTCACCCATCTCCTTCTCGAATTCTGCAAACTCCTCAAATCCCTCCGTCCCGCCGCGCTCCACTTCTCGTTCAACCCATCCTTCGTACACCTTCCTCGCCCTTCCAAACTCTCCAAGCCCCCGCTCCAGCTCCACGTATGCACGATATATCTCCACCTCCTCTCGTGCCCCAACCCCGACTCCGAGCCCTGTTCCCAACGCCTTTCGGGCCCCGGGGACATCTTCCATTCGTACGCGACCTTGGGCGTATAGCACCCATATACGTCCCCCAACCCATTCCCACCCGCCTTCCTTCCGCTTTCCCACCGCTCTCACAGCCCGTTTATATATTTCCACTCCGGCTTCTGGGGTTCCCTCACTCATCTCTGCCCATATGGCATAGGCAATCCACAGATACATGTATCGACCCCATCCACTCTTTGCCTGAGCCGGCGGCTTGTTTGTTACAGCCTGTTCATAAGTATCTCTAGTGCGCTCTATCCCCGAATGACCTTCCTCTAGCAATAGCAGATCAAACCATGAATCGTAGTCGTGTCCGTTCTCCTTTACACGTTTTTGTAGCTCCTTTCGTTTCTTCCGCACTACAACCTCCTCCACCATGTCTCGCTCGCCTTGTTGTTTCTCAAACGAAATGAACGCTCTCTCCAAACGCTCAACCTCCACACCTTCATTGCCCAGCTTTTCTATGGCATATTTGTAAATCGCACGAGCGCGTTCAGTTTGCTTTCGGCGTTCTTCGAACCGCGCAAAGGAAAGGAAGAGTCCGGCAGTCTGTTGCCCGGTAGGCAAGTCCTGGCATGACCGTTCGTAAACCCCTCGAGCACGCCCCATCTCTCCTTGCCTCTCTTCAAACTTGGCATACTTGGTGTACGAGTGCGACGTTTGGTGTGCACGAACTAATTCTTCATATACACTCCGCGCTCGCCCATATGCGCCATGCCGCAGTTCGAACCGTATGAAAGCGAAAAACGCAGACGGACCGGGCATCCACTTGAGCCATCGCGAGTAGACGAGACGCGAGAGCTCAACCTGATCTAGGAGTTCCTCGAAGTGGGCATATTTGAGCCACAGTTGATCCACTCGTGGCAAGAGCGCCACGGCGCGGTCAAGCACGTTCCTCGCGTGGTTGATAAACCGATGTCGCATTTCCATTTCCGCATACCCAAGCCATATGGCAGGGTTTCGGTATTCGTTGTCGATAGCCCTTTCCAACACAGATCGTGCCCTTGTAAATTCCTCCTGGGACTCCTCCCAACGAGCATACCGTATCCAGAGAGGCGTATGCGAGCGATTGCGAACAATGCGCATTTCGAACTGCTTCCGCTCTGTCCGTTGGTACTCTTGCAATTCTTCTTTATCTGTGATCTGCTGTTTCGGGACTGCAGAGGGCCCGGACTCTTTGCGTTCCCATGCCTCGCGTAGAAGCTGCTCGGCAGTGATTTGTACCTTGGCAGGGGCTTTATTCTTTACGGTCACAGAAGAAGGTCGTCGTACATCAGAGAGTAATTCTTCCATGATGCGCTCTTGCTCGAAGATATTGAACTTGGATGGGCTACGCGTTTGTGTACGGATACGTGAATATTCTTCACGTAGCCTGAGATTCTCTGACTAACGGTAGAATCCTTCAATCGATAGTCATGAGAGCTATGTCGCAGGATTTTCAGAAGACAGAGTAAGTCCAGAGAGTGGTTTACAAACGCTGGAGGAGTCCTTGAGGCAGAAACATGTTGGAGCTGGAGAGCGTGAAGTGAACAAACCTTGGCTGTTTATGAAATAGGGGCCTTCTAGCCAGGCTCACATAAAAAATACCAAAAAACAAATCGGCTTGCCGGGCCGATATCCAGCCATGATCCCACACAGTCCCCAAAATTACCATCCCCATCTTGTTTTACGCCGCCGCCAGCAACAGAGGAGCAAAAGATCTTGCTCCCAACGAGAGGCACTCTCTATTGATTTGTTCGAAGATTGACCGCAAGCCACTGCAGCGGAGACAGCGGCACTAGTTTCGATTTCGATCTCACATTTGTTCAAACGCAGCCCACAAGCCGCCGTGCCACCGCTTACATTGCTTTTGTGCTCATAAGCCCAGAAGAATGGCAAGCACGGATGTCGCCATGGATAAGGGCGAGACAACAATAATTCAATTTCAGTCTGCTGAGGGTGAGAAAGCCGGTCCCTCTCTTGATATACCACTCTCCTCAACTCCTGAACAACTCACAAGTCTCCTAAACGAATTACTCGAAAATGACGAGCCACTGCCGTATGCATTTTTTCTTAGCGACTCCCGGGAAGAGGTTACAAAGTCGCTCAAATTGGCAATGAAGAGTGTGTCTGTGGGAAAAGAGAAGATATTGTCCATTACGTTTCAGCCACAGTCACTGTTCCGCGTTCGCTCCGTTACTAGATGTACATCCTCTTTACCTGGACACGAGGAAGCTATTCTCACCTCTGCTTTCTCTCCAGATTCCAAGTCACTGGCAACAGGGTCTGGAGATACTACCGTACGATGCTGGAATCCGGAATCGCAGCTTCCCGACAAGACGCTGAGGGGACACAAGCAGTGGGTGTTAGCCATTTGCTTTTCTCCCGACGCTTTGCGGCTCGCTACTGCTTCGATGGATGGTTCGGTTAGAGTATGGGATCCGACGCTAGGCGAAATCATAGGGAAGCCTTTGCTAGGGCATAAGAAGTGGGTTACCTCACTCTTTTGGCAACCATACCATCTATCCACCAAATGCACTCACCTTGTTTCTGCATCAAAGGACAATACGTTGAGAATATGGAACACTGCGGCTTCGACGTGCTACAAGGTGTTAGCAGGCCATAGCGCAGCCGTCACGTGCGTCAGGTGGTCTGGTGAAAATGTCATCTACTCTGCTTCTCAAGATAGAACGATAAAGGTTTGGGACCCGCAGACGGGGCTAGTTGTTCGTAACATTAGTGCTCACGGTCATTGGATAAATACCATGACTCTGAACACAGACTATGTTTTAGGATGCGGGGCGTTCCCGATGTTGGACGAAGCAACTGGTTACATCGCGAAGAAACTCGACGCGGTAGTTGCGAGCAGAAGGTATGAGGATGTCAAGCGGAAGATGGTGGGTGGGAAGGAACGACTAATCACTGGCTCTGATGACTTTACTCTCATCATGTGGGAGGACCTCGCAAATAACCTGTCGAAACATGCGAAGCCCGTGACTCGCATGACCGGACACCAACAACTCGTCAACGATGTGCGCTACAGTCCGGACGGAGTATATATCGCATCAGCGAGTTTTGACAAGAGCGTGCGGTTGTGGGATGGAGCTTCAGGTAAATTCCTCTTCACATTCCGAGGACATGTTGGTGCTGTATATCGAATTGTTTGGTCTGCTGACGCGCGCCTGTTGCTCAGCGCGTCTAAAGACAGCACCTGTAAAGTCTGGGAAATGAGAACGAGAAAACTGAAATCAGATCTGCCTGGTCATTCGGATGAAGTTTACACCGTGGACTGGAGCATCGACGGAAAGAGAGCAGTTTCTGCGGGGAAGGATAAAGTAGTTAAGATTTGGCATCATTAAAAGGCCTACCTACTTGTACCAACTTCTGTTTCGTGAGTACATACTCTTGAGGTTTCTAATGGCAACTTCAAATTGACAAATACACTGAAGGAATCGCTGATGGCCTCTGTTGATGTTTTGGGGAATGTGCGGCCTGGTGGACGATTGACGTAATGCTCAGCGTGGAAGTGGAGGTAGCGTAGCTATGTACGGTAGCGTGTGATAAGACGTTTCTTCTTCATCAGAGATATCAAAATTTTTGTTTACAAAAAAGGGAACTTGGTCTGAACACTCACCATTCCCCTATGATTCCATTAACGCTGCAGCAAGACAGCAATTTGATCCGTGCATCACAGGCTTCCCAAGTTTTCGAAAGCTGCGTCACAAAGGGAAGGAAGGGTCTGGGCATATCAACTGCGATAGCCGGCTGAGGCCTGAAGGAGAATGCCTTTGATCGCGTGTCCAGCGTTGTCCCGGAGTCTGGTCCGTTTTGCGATGAGTTACCAACCTCCACCCTTTGCTTTCGCATTTAACTCATCGATTGCAGGTCAACTCAATCGCAATCGCACCAATTCGTCAAGTAAGAATCGCGCTTTTCAAAGTGGGGCGAATATGAAATCAGAAATCGCCTCTGGCGTGAGACAATCGACGCGATCGCGGCTGCCACGCCTTTGGCTGCCAAACACTTCGGCTACTCATCAGCTTGGCACGCTTCTAGGCCAAGATGCTCGTCCCTCAGATGTAATTCTCCTTTCCGGCTCTCTTGGAGCGGGGAAAACTTGCTTTGCGCGTGGTTATATTCAGACTGTCCGAGGCGATACGGCTATAGAGGTGACATCTCCAACGTATTTGCTGGTCAATACATATCCTCCCAGTTTCAAACAGAAAGGCCCCACTGTATATCACATGGATCTTTGGCGTTTGGATCCTGGCACGAGGCGAGCCATAGTAGACTTCAGTGAGGTATTCGGAAAGCACATCAGTCTTATTGAGTGGCCCGATAGACTTCAAGATGAGTTGCCTTCTGAGCGCCTAGAAGTACTCATTGAGTACCCAGAGAGACATGCGGAGGTGGATGAAAATGACCCATGGGGCTTTGGCACTGAGGATGTTGACGGCTTGGGATCTGCACGGGACGGTCGATTCGCAACGCTGCAACCCGTCGGAAGGTCATGGGAAGAACGGATAACAAAACTTCGCGACGAAGTTGCAGTTTTGGATGAGGCAGGGCGGCTCGTCATTTCAGAACAATAAGAATGCAAAACCCGCTACACAGAGTCTGCTAATTTCATTTAGGAGAAGCCGACGTCTTCAGGAAGAATGCAATTACAGCCCAACCTTTATTTAGCAGTACGATGATTGAGGGGTTCTTCTCTCACAACGTTTCATTGGCGATGACAGTGCTCATCCAGCAAAAGAGCTGTTAATCCTTTTTGGGTGTGACGCTGGAGGCGATAGATCGAGAAAGACTCTATGTGCAGGATCTCGACAACTCTTCTGAATACTGAATGCTTCCATCATGAAGTCGGTTTTCCGGCGATGGTCCCGTTCGCTGTTTGCTGCACCATGGGGAGTCAGAAGCACGTTTCCAAAAACCCCTGCTAGCGCCCTGGCGTTTTCCGGGCCCTTCACCAACTTCGTGTCGCAGAGAAAGTCAACAATGTACCAGAAGACGTTGGAGTTCAAGGGAGGGAGGAGATCAAGCACACCTTGAACTAATTCGGGTTCCATGGAGTGCCCTGCTTCTAGAACTCTTCTATATAACTTGCGAGGCACAACTGGATCACTCAAGTTGCCCAAGATTTGCAGCATACATGACCCAACAGCATAGCCACTCAAATCAGGAGGGATCCTTTCGCTCCTATCCACAAAAGATAGAACTCGCTGCGTTAAGGCTTCATCGCCGCTGCGCAAGAATAAATCTGGGCAAGTACTCGCAAATGAGAGCTGTTCGCTGTCACGCATCTTGAGCAAAGCATTGACCAGGAGCCAGATTTCTTTCGGAATCGCTCGTGGAACAACATCAGGCTCTCTTTCGCGCTCTCGTTCACGATAATATCCTGGCTCCTTACGGTCCATGTTTGTTAGGCGTTCCAGTTCTCGCTCGGTGGGGTTCCGAAGAGCTAGCACAGGTCTTTCTAACATCGACAACGTCTCCAGAGAAAGACCCAAAGTCGTAACCACGTACCGACCTCGAACTTGTATCCGCTGTCGTAAACTCCCGGGCTCTGCATGAACACGTACACTTGTGTTGAGCTTGCAACCGTTCCGCGGCATATCGTTTGCTGAGCCATCCTTTCCCGTGATGAGAATTCCGAAATTCAGCTGCACAGACTTGCCTGAAGGAATTTCAAAATTATGCCATGGTGATGGGTCGAACTTAAACCATTCTGGTGTGTCTGACGGTAAAGACAACGTTAAATAAGCGGGGGAATCGCCATTGTTCTTGATTGAGAATTGTCGATTGCAGTTTCTTTCGAAGAAAACATCACCAAAGTCTACAATTGTTGGTGAGAATAGAAGATTTGGACGTAGACTTGCCTCTCTTACATCAAGTTCCCGGTTAACTTTGTCCTCAATGTGCTGTTTTCGTTTCACGTCCTCAATACCGAAGAACATCCGAAATGATGCATAAACAGGGCGATGATCCGAACTATATACTATTGGAGAAGTATAGTTCTGCAACTTCATTCGGGGTAGTGTTCCGGAAGGTGTCAAATTTTCACCAAAGCGCCACAGGATTCTGTCTGTATATGCCGGTATACGAATTTTGTCTCCATTTTCTCCGCTGACTTTATATTTATCCTCGGATTTGCTCATTTTATAAGTAGGCGGAAAGCGGATGGGTCCCTCCTTGAACCCTGTAAAGACGCTGCATGTTTTCATCTGCTTCTGCAGCTGATCGGCTTCATACAACTCATGCCAGTTTTCCTCCTCAATCCACTTCATGACGTTGGTCAAAGAGGCGTCAATTCTATAGTTGAGATCTCCTAACCAAAATACAACATCATGTTGCAAAATTCTTACGGCATTAGGGTCATTCAGGATCGCTGTGTTCGCACCTGCGCTCATATCTGATATGGCAGTAGCTGCAACAGATGCAACACTACCAAGCCATGCACTTGCTCCTTCTGCGACTGATGGGAGCCCACCGAACGAGGCAACCGCATTTGCGTTAGAGGATCGTTTCGTTTGAAGGAAATCACTCCAGTCTGTACTACTGCCCACCCCTGATATAATCGGAGGATGGCCTGAAAGATTGGATGAGTGTGACTTGCTCGCTTGTGACGGATTGTCTGGCAAAAAGACAGCTTTCCTGACGACATTCTCGAAGTCCTGATTCCGGCGCTGGACAAATTCTGTGTGGGCCGCGAGATGACACGCGACGCATGAGATAGTTTTGTCGTAAAGCTGGAAGCGCGCTGCGACACCGCCTTTGTTTCCAACAGCATTTAAGACACCAGTTGCCGCGTAGGATAACTGCACGTTGGAGAGGTAAGGTACATGATTCTTGCGCATGAGAACGACGACCAGGATACCGACGAGTTGTCGCTCAGCGACTTGGTCGTAGTCAGAGCCTAGCGTTTTCTTAATCGTGGAACGCCATTGCTCTCCACGTCTCGCATCTGTACGCACTGCATCGACACCGGACAAGTTTTGGATCTCTTGCAAACCGAGCATGTAAATGTCGAAGGGGCGGTCCTTTCGGTGCTCCACAGGAAATAACCACTTATCAATCCGAACGCCTTCAGCTGGTCCTTTGCCGCATACGTTCCATGTGCCCGCAAACAAGTTGAGTTCCTTGTCGTACAGATAGGCTTGTCGTTGCTTGTCCATTTCCGTATCAAACCATCTCTTTCTCTGCTTGGAAATTGGTGTATCAAAGCTATCAGAGGCTGAATCTGAATTCATTTTTTGATTGTTGAGCGTATTGTTGTTGAAAGAGGTGGTAGATTTCGATGAAAGGACATGAGACGAGGGCCTTTTCGGACGGTTTGCTGACCGTGTATCGGCGCTATTGGGAGATGAGTTGAGGCAAGGTGGCCCTTCATGCACCGACGGTGGCCGGACAATAAACGTCGAAGGCTGGAACGCTTGCAACGCAGTGTGGTGCATTGGACAAATGCATGACCGTGCAGCACCACAGCGATGTTTGGGAAGTGGGAGGATGGCAGAGGCAGAAGATAAAAAAGTTGACATTTGGTAAAGCGTAATATAGTGAACTACACCAATTAGTGCAACCCCTTGCAGAATCGATGAAAAGCACTATTGAGAGGGTGCACAAATGGGTATGGGGTCTTTATTGCCGATTTCAGATACAGGAAGAGAGGCTCAAAAAGTCTGATCACTCTCTGCCTCTATTGGCCCCCGTTGCAGGCATCAAAGAACGCCCTTTTTGCTTTTCTCAGGGCCAAAAACCCATCCAGTTGCAGCGCCAGTTCTTCCGGCAACGCTGAAACGTGTACACGTTTTCGAGGCTTGGACATGTCTGCATCGACATGATATCCTGTGTTCACTGAAATGTAGGGCACTATAGTGTTTACGCAAACCAATATGGTAAATTGATTTTCGTTTTTTTGGCAATGCCTGTCCACGTGGCAAGCCCATTTGCGAAATTCGCAAATCAAGAGGGGCAAACAAATGTGAATTATGACGAGTTTGTGAAGTCGTTTCACAAACTGTATTGGCGGGAAACCGCATCTTGACTACTACGGCAAACGAATCGCAACAGCAAAAACGCAGCACACCCCACAACCCACCGCCACACCGATCATGGCAAACGTTTTGGAAGAGCTGCTCGTCGAAGAGGGCAGCCCAACTATCACGCAAGTGGCACCAGGATCCCAAACCGTAGTTTTGAGTGCCGCTCCTCGGTCAGCATCAAAACCAGGCCGCAAATCGAAGTTTACGAGCAACAAAGACCTCATAATTGCTCAAGAGGTATACGCGGCTGAGGCGCACGTTGCACCCCATGGCGAGACGCTGGCACGTTTTGAAGCTGCTGCTGTCAAGGCAAACTCCAATCCCACCTTCGCGCACCAGTCAACAGGTAAACACATTCAAGATCGTTTCAAGGAACTGGTGGAGCAGTTTGTGAAGCGAGATGCAAAAGATAGGGTGCGTTCTGGTGTTGGAGGCGAGATAGGTGAGCTGGATGAGCTCCTTGCAGATATTGTCGAGGCGAAGAAAGATGTGGAAGCAAAGAAGGATGGGGATATGAAAGACCGTATGGAACAGGAGCAAAAAAAGATGGGAGATTTTGCGTTTAGTAGGGCGATAGTGGTCTTTTTTGTGGCAAAAAGGGGGTGAAATGGCTTTTCTTGTAGTGTTGAGGGGGTGAATGGCGCGAATTTGTTGCACAAGGGGGGCGAAGGGAAGAATATCAGTAGTATGTTAGACCCCACCACTGAAATGTCGCCTTTGGTCACCCGTCCCAAACAACACAATTGGGATTCTTCGCCCGTGTAGTAGTCCAAAATTGCAAGTAATCGAGCTATTAAACTCAACATTTCTAGAACACGGATACTGTAGGGACAATTAATCTCGTGATCGGCCACGCCGATGTGGCCCCATTATCGACTGTTTCAACCTCCACAATACGCCACAGCATCACGTTTGTTACGTTACTCCGTGTCCAGCGAAGGGGGAGTAAAATGTACAAATGCGCTGCACAAAGCGGCGGGAGCAAGTTTCGAGTGCACTCACGTTGGCCGCTTGGCTCAACATGACCGTCTCCGCAAAACATCCCAGCGTGGAGCCTTTTATTCTCCCGTTCAGTATGGTGTACACGGCTGCTGATATCCACCACGCCGCAGTAATTGCCAAGCAGTCAAGTTTTGTCGAGTTGTGGGCGATACAGCCTTTCATACAGCCTTTCCTGTTGCGTCCACAATGATGATTTCACATCCGCTAACTGCTTGTCCACAAGCCCCTGGGCGAAAATCAATCTCTTTGCTCGCATCATGCGCCGCTTCCCTGTCCCAGTCCTCGTTGCCGGCCTGGCGCGCGGCGCGCGCGGCGGCGGAGGTGGCGACGAGGCCCAGCAGCTGCAGGAGACGTCTCGGGGCCCACGGGCTCAGCGTGCGGTACGCCCAAGAGTAGGCGCGGTAGTCGTCCGGGCGGTAGTCTGGCATCGACATGAGCGCGTCCATGCGGCGGTCCTGCTCCGCGAGAAATGGGTACTTGGCGTGGAGCAGCGCGCGCGTGTCGTCGGACAGGCGCGCGCGCGGCGGCTCCGATGCGAGCGAGACGACTTGTGTCACACATTCTTGCCTTGGGACAGCGCCTCGGTCTTCACTATAAAAAGCCCTGAGACCACCCTCCCTCCTCCCCTGATGCTCACCAACTCGTATCCAGCATTTAAACGTTAATTTCACTCACAACTCCAACTCTCCAACCGACCTCACGCAATGATCAAGCTGACTCTCTTCCTCGCACTCTTTGTTCTTGTGCTGGCTTCGGTACTCGCTGCTGAAATCCCTGACTCCATTCGCAGTGGGTCGTCAAGCGGGTCGTCCACGAGATGCCCATGCCAATGCCGAGCTGGATATGGGGGTTACGAAAAGGTCAAACTGTATTGTGATCGCCGCCGTTTCCGTTCCCACTGCGTCATGAAGGAATGTTGGAAGGGCTCTCAAAAGGGGTTCACCTGCTGTCAAGACACTGATCCCCCAACGGACAAACCCACCACTACCACTACCACCACTGCCAAACTGCGGAGGGCGCGGATGCGGTTAATGTTAGGGGGGCGCAGGGACGGGGCATGGCGCGGACGACAGGGGGGCCGAGGGGAGGAAGGCGGGGGATCGCCATGAAATGGGGGAAGAGTGCTAGGAGTGGTCGCGGGCGGGCGGGGGATGGTGGGGGGCGGGTGGGGGCGGAGAGGCGGGGCAGAGGGAGAGAATACGACGGGAGAAGTTGATCCTCGGCTGCGGCCGAATGAGGAGAGATCACGTCCTTTTCCTTTCGTTTATTGCGACGCTTCGTGCCGCAACGGCGGGCGGACTGGGCCGGGCTGATTTCTCTTCCTCTTCCGGCCCTCGCGCAGCCCAGCCTTGACGACGGAGAGCTCGTCCTCCAGGTCGAACTCGCGCTCCATGCCATAGGCCGCGTGGTCGACATCGTCGACGTCGAGATCAATGTCGGCGTCGATGAAGTCGCGGGCCTCCTTGCGCTTGCGCGCGGCGATGGCAGCGTACGTCTGCCTTGTCGACGCACTCGTTCACATCGGCCTCCTCGTGCAGCTGGTAATCGGCGACAATTTTCCATGCGCATGTACCTTTTTGTGGGAAATCACCAACGCGCAATAAAATAAGGGGAGATTTTTGTTTGGTGGGGCGATGGGGTGTAGTTTGGTGGCAAAAACGGGGTGAAATGGCTTTTGTTGATCAATGAACGCCACGCCGGTGTGGCCCCCTTATCGACTGTCACCTCCACGACAAACATCGTTCCCTATCCCCATGGCCATGTCACCCCTGTGCCCCTCCTCTGCTGTCATTTCAAATTCGTCTTTTCAAAATGCGCTTATTGCCCCAGACCATGGCGCAGGGAATCCGTCACCTTGCCACTGTGGAAGAAGGTGTGACACCCCTCATGGACGTTTTTTGCGTATCTGCGCGCAACGCAACATTGCGTGAAATGAAGAAACAGTACAAGCGTCTTGCCGTTCTCGTCCACCCCGACAAAGTGCGGGCAGTTCAACCGCGCTGTGCGGACAGGTGTATGAAAGTACTCACGCATGCCATGCAGCAGGCGGAGAGCGAAGTTCGGTACATAGAAATCGATGAGGATATTCAGTGTGGTAAGGTCGTGTTACTGCCGGCATTCGTCGCGTTTAGCAAAACCTCTTCCGAAAGAGAGCTCTCTCTCGACAAAATGGAACGCGCTGCGCAAGAGAAACAAGACAATGTCAGGGAGACTCAACGCCAAAGAGAATGCTCGAACAATGAAGAGCACGAGAAGGCTTCGAAGGGCGCGTCAGACGTTTGCAGTGACAGCGAGGAAGACGCTCTACGGGAGAGGCAGGCGAGAGCCTGGAAGCAATTGCAAAAAGAGAGAGAAGAGGCAGCTAGGGCCGCCCAACTGCAAAAGGAGAGGGAAGAAAGAGCAAGGGCTGCGCAGCTGCAGAAGGAAAGGGACGGAGAGAAAAGGGAGAGAACAGAGAGAGAAATGGCTTCTCACTTGCGGGCGGTGCTTGAAAATGATGGTACTGACAAGGATGGAGAGGATGAAGATAGTATGTCCAACGGTGAACGTAACGATGATGTGGACGAGGTAGAGAAATGTATAACTCCACCACCATCCCGTCGTCTTTTCTGCCGATTTCGCAGCACAGCAGACGATCCTTCTCGCGAGAGCAGCGCGGACAAAATGGACGAGGAAAATGTCAGCAAGGATGGCGAAAATTCAGGGGTGTTCGCAGACGTGGAGAGAATGGAAGAATGCATCGACGGAGTACAATTTGAAGATGAAGGAGATGATCTTGGGAGTGAGGCAGGAAGGAATTTTGAGGAAGACAGAGAGGTGGCCGAGTGCTTGGAAATTGATTCCGAAGAAGACGTTACGTCGGACGAGGACTTCGACCCGAAGAATTACATTGCAATCGAATGTGAGGAAGAGGAAGAGGATGTTGAAGAGCGCGCTGCCGATCCTATTCCGGATGATATCGACAAGAAAACCCGTCGAACGCTACAGAAGCGCCAATCGAAGCTACGAACCATGAATCGTGCGAAAGATGCACTGCGAGCAGATCGATTGCCTGCCATGACATGGAAGCCCCGTCCAATTGTGGACGTTAAACCGAAAGTGGGGATCGCCTTGAAGGGCCGGTGGAGATGTGAGCAGCTGATTAGAGCACACACTGCGAACCTCGGGGTGCAACGGGGAGTTAACATTATGCAGAATACTGTGAAAGTGCGCATGAAGTGCCGCACAGATGGGTGCCATGCGACTTTTGTTTTCGATTGGCAACCGAGGACCGGTTTTTGGAAACTGAACAAGTACCAAGACCACCTCAATGAGTGCTTCGGGCAACATGTCGCGGACAGTCCAATGAAAATTGCGTCAAGATCGTCTTCTTGTGCCCCTGCATATACCCCACATCAGATTGCCCGAGCAATTTTAGAACACGTGCAAGGCGATCCGAATGTGCCTTGCAAAACAATCGCTTCCGTTGTTCGAGCGAAGCGCCTGTATTTGCGTCAGCCTCCATATAGTCATTATCGGAGTATTCGGACAGAGTTGCTCCGTCATTTCACCATTTCGCGCGCCGTAGACATGGCCGCATTGGAAGGTTACGCAGATGCGCTCAGAGGGGTGGGGCATAAGGTAGAAATTTTTACTTGCTGTGCAGCGGAGATGAGGGAACAACGGATTAAGGCGGCTCGTCATATATTCGAGCAGTGCAAGAAGGCAAACGATTTACCGAAGGATGCTTCCTTTAATGCCGCAGATGTGGAAGTATCTGATATAGGCGACGGTCGCTATTACAGCGGATTGCTGTTTGTTCCTTCTTCCGCGCAGAGTTACTGCCAACATGGTCGACGAACGGCCAGTGCGGATGCCGCACACTGCGAAGGGGTAGGAATGCAGTCGTATGGGTCTACTTTTCAGGTAATCGGGTACGATGCAAATCATCAGCTCTGTCCTTTGGTCTTTGCGCACTTCGTGGGCCCTGAGAACAAAGAGTCCTGGGGAAAGGTCTTTCGGGCATGTAAGGAAATTCCGGGATTTGACATTAATGGGAGGGTGACAATTGTCGATCAGGAGAAGTCCATCGACGCAGCCTACCGGGACGTCATGACTAATACATCGTTATTCCTGGATCCTCTCCATGTTAAAAAAACATGTCCGCGCGATTAGGATCTAACAAGGGCGTTGGAATACGGTTGTATGAACGAGCAGTATATGCTCCGTCTCGAGAACAGGTATACGCTCTGAAAGCAGATTTTTCTGCGACACAAAAGGCCTATCTGGATAGATTCGAAGATTCTGAAGTGTACAGGGCATTTTCCAGCTTAGAAGACCTTATCACAACTTCACAGGGGGCTGAAAGCCAGATGTCAGCTGATCTTAGGAATAATATTCGTTCCGTGGAGCCTCAGAAGATGCTTTCAAGGGTCGTGCTTCTGCAGAGAACAAATTTTTTGCGTCGCCAGGACAGTGCCCTGTCTTGTACATCTCCCGTCCCTCCTCGCACACAGAACCATCTCGCATACCTAATTCAGAGAGCTCACGTATATCGGTCTTCTGTGCGTTTTCTGGATGGTACGTCGCAAATGGAAGCCACCGTCGCTAGTCAGCAAAATGGAACCGTTTTGCGGCTTGTAAGGCTTAGCAATAATACCCAAACCCCCCCTTCTTGCTGCGCTTACTCTACAAATGGGTCTGGATTCCCCTGTTGGCATGGCGTCTCTGTTCTTCTCGAAAAGTATGGACCAAGCAATCTCTATCGGTTTATTGAAGCGCGTCATCTAACATCTGCCTGGGTTATGCAGTACGCCAATATGGAGTATAGTCTTCCTTCACAAGCAAGGGTCGACGACATTTTATTCAATGCGAAGAAGCTCGTTGCTACGAAGGAGAACCTGCAAATTCCAAAAGCTTTACCGCCGCCACGGGGTCGTCCGGTTAGGAGGGCTGGTAGGCGAAGAAAAACCTGGTACGAAAAAGGCCCTGCTGCGAAGAAGAAGCGTGTGTACTCCTGCTCTTTGTGTCGGATGGCAGATCACACAGTGAAGGATTGCTCTCTGAAACAGCTGTATGGGGATACCGCAGAGTAGCCCAGTAGCCGCTCTTTTAGTAACGCCTTAGTATCCGATTTCGCCTGTCATTTAGTACAATTTATAGCACCGTCCACTTTGTTCAGATTCTGTCGCCCCTCAAGAACAACCAAATTCTTTTCTGTCACCCCCATGTTGAAGACGTCACCCATACGATCCCTACAAATATTTCTCAATCGGATGGGTGCTTCAGCAAATTTGACCGCGTCACCCCCTCAACACTACAAGAAAAGCCATTTCAACCCCTTTTTGCCACAAAAAAGACCACGATCGCCCCACTAAACGCAGCATTAACTCAAAAAAGATTGCTGCGGGTCAAGAGCTCGTCTTGAATGCGTTACGTGGGAAGCGTCGTCGTCGAGAGCGAGAGAGTTCTGACGATGAAAGTCCGCCCAAAACACGACGTGCAGCCGTTGGAGATGGAATGCAAGCAATCAGCGTGGCGCTTCGCGAATCTGAAACTGCCCGATTCGATCTAGAGCAACAGAAGCTTGCTTTTGCACGCGAAACGGCTGAGGGCGAAGCAACTCAGAGAGATGCAGACCGTCAAGAACGCGCAGAGGAGCGCGCGCAGCGTGCAAGCGAGCTAGCAGCGTACCGCAACTCCATGAGTAGCATGACGGAACAGAATGGCAAGCAGATGCAGTCCGTCCTTTCCCTAGTCACAACACTGCTCTCGAAGCAAGGAAGCGTGAACCTGTAATCCTATTACAAATAAAAGGTTTGCTTGACATCATTGCGCGTCCACCCTTCCCTATGAATACCTCATTCTATTTGCCGAGAGACTTATGTCTCTCAGACCAATTGGTTTGTGGAGCACAACTTCATCAAAAAGTCGCAGCATACGCGACGGCAGGAACATAGTGACAGAATGACAAGGCGCGGCAGTATTGTTTAGTCGCTGGCTGAAGATGATTTTCTGAAGCGCCGAGGTTGAGTGCTTTATACGTTTTTCGAAACACAAGGGAATGTGTCACAAGGTGGAGGGACGGGATCCGGGCGAGACCTTAGGACGTGCGCTGGAAGGACATTGCGATTGGGTTATATGTGAGGAGTGGCCAGCGGACGGAAGGCGGGTCACATCTGGAGAACAGGACAGTGCGGGCAGCGTATGGGGGTACTGATGCTGCGGGAGACAAACTTGAGGGGCATGGCAGTTCGGTGTTGTGCCTGGCGTGGTTGGCGGACGGAGGCCGAGTGGTGTCTGGAGGAACGGACGACAGGGTGACGATATGAAAGTGCTGGAAAGCAAAGGGGTCATGGCAGCAAAAGGGGTCGCGAAGATTGGGTTGCGATGTGCGGGGTGGTGTGTGACAGTTGAAGTCGTGTTAACACGATTGAGTGTGGAGGACGCGACGGGAGCGTGACAATATGGGGTGTGGGAAGGGTAGAGGTGGGCGGCTCGCTCAAGGGACATGGCACGGAGTTTCGGTGCATGGCGTGGTCGGCGGACGGTGATCGTTTGCGTCCGGGACGAACTGACCGCCGGGACGAACTGACCGCACGATTTTAATCCGGAACGTCGATACAGACGAGGGACTGGGAAAGAGATGGAGGGAGGGAGGGACACGGTTGGGTGTGCTGCGTGTCGTGGTGTGCGTGCCAGAGAGTCTCGAGATCGGCTCTTTGAGGACGCACAGAGCAGAGGGGTCTAAGTTATACTCCTACGTACGTATTCAAGCGAATTTCGCGTAAACAAATGTCTACACTTGCTCTTGTTCTAAAATTCATCATTTTCATAAGTCTCTATCATATCGCTATTTCTCACATTTATTTGTGAAACTCTTGTTGCGTAAACCTTAAACTAATGGGATCCTTATTAAAAAGGGCACTATGTCGTGAATACTCTGTTGTCAAATCGCCACTTGTAATGACGGTCACTTCACACTTCACACGTCATCCAATTCTTTGCAGTAAGTTGTAATTTGTAATTTGCACTGGCAAAATATCAAACTTGGTCCTTTTTTCTCTTCCGTGTTGTTGGTTCTTGTATCACTGTCACTCACTCACCTGCTCTCAGTTTAGCCATCTCTCCTACCACCAACTCTCCCCCGCTTTACGCCCGTCAGACAGCTCACTCATTATTGACATTCAGACCGCTTTGCCACCGTTACGATCACACAATCCGTACATTTTTCAAAGCATTTCGTACGAACGATCGTTTCTCCCCAACAGCCAAGCATTGAGTCTTTCAATTTCGTCTCAATACCCGATTTCCCTGTTTGAAACATTTTGCCTTCCACTACTCCCCCAGTTTTTCAATTCCTTCTCAACGTTGGCTCAGGTGATAGCGGCACCGTCCGGGCGTTGAGGCAAATTCTGAGCTTGTTCCTTTGTCTCACAACAAATGTATGATCGACGAGTGCATCAACCAGACCAGGCAATGACAAACCACCAGCCAGATGCGAATGGCTTCTACAGCCCCAACTCGCAACCGCCTCACGGCCAATCTCAGCCTCCAAATCCTGTCTTTCCATCACAACAGCAGCAGCCACAACCACCACCGCCGCAGCAGCAGCAACCGCAACACCCCCGGCCCCATGCTGTACCCATGCACCAACAACAGCCGTTCCGAACCATTGGGTCAAAAATGGACGACCCTTACGCGTCGTATGCGCCTCGCAACATGTCGCCAACGAATTCGCAAACGCCCTCACAGCAAAATGGCTTCTTCAACGTCTCATCGTATGCCCAAGACCCCATGCATCAACACCAGCAGCAGATGCCCCCACCGCCGCAACAAAGCCAGTACTATTCCAATCAGCAGTACCACAACACTGATCATGCCACCCCACCGCAAAACGCACTGCAGAGTTCCTATTCATCAAATTACAACTTGTCCATGTCGCCACAAGCGAGCCCCACCATGACTCGCCTTCCCACCCCCCCTGTTCCTCATCAAGACTTTGCCACTGTTGAACCGGCTGGCCAAGCACAGCGCCGTCAGAGTCACCAACATTCGTCGTTTTACGAGATGCAACAACAGCAGCAGCAACAGCAGCAGCAACAGCAGCAATACCAATCACATCAACAACAGCAGCAGCAGCAGTATCAACCTCAAATTCCGAACATGCAGTCCGCTGTTCCATTTATGCTCGCTGGTATGCAACAGATGGCGAGCAATGGACCGGGCAATGGTTTCAATGCAGCCCTTGGGGCTCAATTGTTTAATTCACTAGCTCCTGGGGCAGCGGGATACACGAGTCAGTTCTTTGGGCAGCAACAGGACGGAAGGACTTTTATGCGCATGCCAAAATATTACTTCGCAGTTAATCATCGTTATGTATTGAAGAAGCTTGCGATCATCGTCATGCCGTTTGTACATCGCATATGGTCGCGCCGGCGTGGCATGGATCCTGTACAATTTGAGGGGTCCACCGCCGAGGGAGTCGCCACCTACCTGCCGCCGCGTGATGATGTCAACGCACCAGATCTCTATATTCCTCTCATGTCGTTTGTGACGTACGTGCTCATGGTCGGCTTTGTCTTTGGCATTAGGAATGACTTTCATGCGAATGTCCTTGCCAAGTACTTTTCAAAGGGACTTGGAGTTCTCTCGCTGGAGGTCCTTATAGTGAAGCTGGGCCTCTATCTCGTCAATGCCCGGCCAACTCCCTGGTTGGATATCATTGCGTATCGGGGCTACAAATTTGTCGGGGTTGTAGTTGCGATGGCGTCATGGCTACTGATGCCGAGGCTTTATCTGCCTGTTTTGCTTTACGCCGCTTCAGCTATGGCCATTTTCTTGATGAGATCCCACAGACGCATTATTCTGCCTAGGGATGTAAATCTCCAGCAGACAACAGACCTAGCGAGGCGCAATGGATTTTTGCTGTTTTTGAGTGTGTTGCAGTATCCAATATACTGGATGTTAGTGCTTGGTCCAAGTCGGTGAGGAAGGCAACGGCAGGCACGATATTGGTACTGTGCGGGTAGACAGTCTCTGTTGCTACCACTAAGGAATAAACTGTATATTGTTTACTGGTTGTTTCTAAAGGAGCGAACTCTAACTCGCATGTTATACAGAATCGCAAAAACCGACCTTCTCGGAACTCGTGTAACACCTAGAACTGCTTAGCTAATTTATGCTTAATTGCTGAACAGGATAAGTTCAGGCATAATCAGTATATTGAACATTACCTAAGAGTCGCTCTCGTGGGACAAGTCCGACTCTCCGACCAACAGCACCCTCGCCTCCCAGGAAGCCAACAGCCCCGGCGAGGTCTGACCTTCCGTCTGCGACCATACATTCCATGGCAGGCATCGCTATACTGCAGTCTGCAGATACGTGCACCTGTTTCACTGCGTGCTCCAGTAAATCAGCTGCAAAAAGGACTGAAAACGGCCCCATAAACACATCTCGAATGCCATATGTTCGCGAAAACCCAAGTCGCCCAGCTAGCGACTTGCGTCCACCATACCTGAGCACATCATTCGTAAAGCCTGCACGCGCGACCTCGACTGGTGAGGGGAAGTTGGGGGGATGCTTCATTTGATATTGTACCATTAGCAAGTACGATTCAGCAGTATTTGCGTTGGACCCATTGGGGACGTCAATGAGCGGAAAGACCTGATCTGAAAGCCACCGAATGAGGCCTGAGAAGCGAAGGAGATTTCCCCAATCTCTGTCGAGAACCATTCCGTGGGCCCGCGCAAACACTGCCGCCCCGCCCTGACGTTGGATTGCGCCAGCGATCTCAGAGGGCAGGGAGTTAAGACGCGGCAAGACCTGAGGGTGGGTTTGATAGGCGAGGAGCTCCATACGCAGCTCGTGAGGGTTTGTGCGCAACCCCCATCTTTTCGTGCTCTTGAATTCGTCCCTGACAGGCTTCTCAAAAGACTTGTTAGCCTTCGCGCGGATGTACTCGGCCAGGCGGTTGTATCCGTTCCGTCCCGGAAAAGCGGCGATTCGATTGCCAAGCGGCGGGCTGAGTTTGCGGATTAGCTTCTTGTCTGGGAATTCCTCACTCGGGTGCACAAGGTCGTGGTCCGCGCAAAGCATGTACAAACTTTGAGCGAGCTCCGCTAATTCTTTTTCCTTGACTGCGTTCAGTGAAGATTGGATTGGGCGCAGACCAAGGCTGGCCTGCACAGCGCGGTGGCCACCAGCACGGGTAACCAGGCGCTGCAAGCGCAGGCGGCGGGCAATTTCACAGCGGCGCAAGTGTGAGTCGGAGGGAAGGGAGCCTTTCGGGTGGCCTGTTTCCTGATACCATTGGTTCAAGGCGGTGGTGACTTGCCGTAAAAGGGCATCCTTTTCGTCGGCGGCGCGCCAGCGGCGCGGGGTGGAACGGTGCTCGGCGAAGCGAGGAGGGGCGCGCGGCTTCTTTGCAAATTTTGGACGCGAAGCGCGGCGAGTGCGACCGGTGCTAATGTGCTCATGCTGTATACAGACAGGGGCGGCGACGGGAGTGAAGCATAGTTGCAGTGGCATGGGGTGATAGCGAGGCGTCTTTGATGGGGACAGGATGCTGTTGATAGTGGTGCAAGGGGAGAGGCGGTTGGGAGAGAAAGGAGAAGGATTGTTTGGGAGTGAGGTGGAAAAGAGAAGCGACGGGGTGAGGTATGCGGTTGTTGGTATTGTTTGGGGGTGTCTGTCTTGGTTGGTCGTTGGCGACGGAAATATTTTAGTGTGTGGGAGAGGATTGGATAGAGGGGATTCGTTGAAAACGCCGGTTGACCAAAAAAATCAAAATGTGACAAATCTAGAGAGCTGTGCAACCAGATTCGAGATACGGAGCGGCGATCACAGCGTGTGGTTGTTCTCGTTCCGCCTTTCCCCACATTTGCACCTGCTTTCCATCCCCACCGGCTGCCCGTGTCCGAAACATGTTACATGTGTACTATGCCGTAGTCAAGTTAGCACTTGATGTAAACACCACCAGTCATGCTCCCAGCAATCTGGTATTGTAGGGTATTTTTGGAGCGACCCTATGAATGACCGAGTTCGCTCCCCGCGTGGCGAGTTACGCCTCATCTGTGCAGTACGAAGCTTGGCCCCCAACATGGAAGCTTCATCCTAAGCTATTACTTTGTTGTCCTTTGGACTCAGCTTGAAGTGTACATGTTTACTTTGAGAGAGTACATCGCCACATTATAGGGATGGAGCAGCGTTGGCAAAAGCTAAATGCCGCGATCGATAGTACAATTTGAGAGAAGTCAGGGCCAACGCGGAGGTGCCGGGGGAATACCGATTTTAGTACGAGTGCCGGTGTCACGGTTTCTTACGTGACTGTTTTCTTCCTGAGTCGGGTGCGGTGAGGAGTGAGGAAATTCGTGATCATGACTGTTGAAGAAGTACAGTGGGGACCACGATATAAGAGCACCCCGTGCCAACCCTTCATGCTGCTCTTAATCCGAGGTTGCTACTACTGTATTCAAGAATCTCGCACAGGATGCCCATTTTACTCTTTAGAACGCTGTAACGCCTCACCGATAAGTAGTTGCCTGGACCTGTGCACAGAAGCCCTCCCTCGTAAGCGCGCGAACACGCTTCACACTCTCCGCAACAACATCCCTACCTCTGTTATATTGCAATCATGAGCAATTGTTTCTAGCGGTAGCAATAATGCATTCAGACCAACTGATGTCGGTATAGTGGCGGTCGGTATAGTGGCGCGTTCTTCCCCAATATATGTGGTTTCGTCACTAACCTCCTCCACAGCCGCGGAGAAATGGAACAGGGGGACTGTGAGCGGGGCTTCTAAGATGCGTTTAAATACCCCGAAAAAAGGCCTGTGTGATTGGAATTACAGTGTCTGATGCGGCTTGAAGTTATGATACCGTGCCAAGCGAAAATGGTGCCTTTACTGCGAGGTCGGTCTTATTCAAAGTGCTTTTATATCGCGGCCCCGCCTGTACTGCGCAGTGCACACTGTACGGCGGTAGTTGTCCATCGGCTGCGAGGCCTCATATAGTATACTGAACTGTAAGCTCTAGGCTGTGATATTCGCTTGAGACAAAGCCGGGTGGCTGTGAGACAGTATTACTCAGGGGCATTCTACTGTAGGTGTTTTGGAAAGTAGGAATTTGGAAATTTGGAAACTTGTCATACGCCACATATCCAATAAGCGCCTGGTACGTTGCCACGTGTGTTTGTCCACTTTTCCATAATCTGTTTTCGTGTAGGGGAATTCTGGAATTCCCCTACATGAAAACGGATGAAACTGCCACCGCAGTCCCGCCAAATAAGAAAGTCAACAATGCTAATTCTATGAATATTTTTCTGACGAGTGGGGAGGTGCGCCTCATGCACCGTGGCAGGACCCAGTGGAGGCCTCAATTGGACCCCAGCCTATGAGGGCCATTTGCAGGGGTTTCGGGACACCAAGAAGACTATTTAGATAGGTTGTCCCGCTGCCCCGATGCCTTTTTTCCTCCCGTTAGAGTTCCTTGTTTACTTTCTAGCGCAGCATACCACGCAATGGAGGGCATTCTAACCGCAGCAGCGCCGTAGACTCTCCTCGTGAAGTTTTATGCTGCGAGCTGGTGTGAGGTACTAAAGCCTTGGTGCGCCAGTACTGTACCGGGGGAATTAGTTCTGCTGATCTCTCGTCTCAGAGATGCGGAGGGCTTTGGACCTCTGCCGACCGGGTGAACATCTGATCAAGTACCCCCTATTTCGCGTCTTGTGAAGTGGTTACGTCATGCTTACCGCAAGGGAAGTACCGATGTATCTCCGTGGAACGAGCGAATTTCCCGCGTTTGGGAAAGTCGCGAGACTGACCTCGAAGGGGCAGAGTCCGTCGGTCGGTTAATGTCTTGGGAGGACGACATTCACGGTGCTAAAAAAGTGGAGTTTGGAAACTTGTGCCAAGCTTTGGACTCCGCTAAAGTCAAGATTGCAGGAGTGGATAACTTCTGGTCTGAAGCTGCTGATGCGTCTGAGTTGCAAGACGGGCTGCTTAAGCTTTGGCGGGTTGGGTACGGGCCTCAGACGTTCGCAGGATTCAGGGAACGTTATGCTTTTTTCTCTCTTCCAGAAAGGCTCATTGCTTTCAAGAAGGAGTTTGTTGTGTCAGCATGTCGTCGTCTAAGCATGGAGGAATGTCTGAGTATGTGCCGTATTTTGGGTGTTCCCGAGGCCCGGTTTGCTGGTGCTCCCCTGGGTGTGGTACGGCAATTACTATCGGAGGTACACTCGACCATTCCCACTGCCAAACGATGGCCTACGTTTGAAGTTCCATCGCAAGCTGCCGTTCAAAACGTTGGCAATGTGGTTGTGGGACGTACAGAGAGACGGACGGACACTGGCGGCGGGGAGCGTCTCGAGCCCGAGGCAGGTCAGTTGTCGCAGCACGGAGTGCATGGTCTTCCCGGGGCTGCTCTCGATGACTCACTGGCCTCCCGATTGCGCCTGGCAGAACATGCGGCTGGTATTGATTCCGAGGTGGAAGTAAATCCCGAGTGCGGTGAATATGGGGTGGGATTGTGGGTGACACCCTGGCACAGCCTCTCATTCGCCCATCTGGCCTGTCGGCAGATGAGACCAAGGAATATGACACGCTTGTTGCGCGCCTCCCTCGTACGTGGCAGACACACCTCAGCACAGGGCTTGAATTTACACGCACTGTATCCCAATACCGCCTGAAAATTAAGACCAAAGAGGAGCTCATTGATTATCTCGAGGTTTTTGATCAGGAGCCGCTGGTCATTCGCCAGCTCCTTATGGGAAAAAACAGGGATCCTGACTCGCCTGAGGTCATTGCTGAGTGTAAGGCGGCTTACGATATGCATTACAGTCACAAGGACCGCCTCGTCATTTCCGCCTTCGCGCCTCACGAGAGAGTTACTGGTCCACAAATATTGCACTGGACCCGTAACGGTGGGGATTTACAGGATCGGGTCAATCGGGCCCTGGCTAAGCTGTCTGATGAATCTGGTGATCGTCCTGTCAAGAGCGAGATCACCAGCATGGGACAGCATCTTATTATTGCCATGGACTCACTTCATCCCGCCCTCGCCGTGAGGAGTGATGCAGTTGAGAGCCTTGTCCGGTGCCTCACCGTCCTCTTCAGTGTAGCCGAAGACTACAAACGCGACAAGAGGCCGCAAGCGTGGGAAGGGACAGAGTTGTTTCTGGGGACCTTTGGTGGAAGTAGCGCTGCAGCGTACAAGTTGCTCCGCAAGTCAAAATCCGACGCGAGAAAGTCGGACACCGAGTAGCGCAAGCGAGCGTTCCTTGCTTGCTCCCGTGATGTTGCTCATTTCCGTCTCCCTGCTCCTTTCTTTCTCCTTTTCTTTTCTGCTTTATTTTTCTATTTTTCTTTCTATTTGTTTGTTCTATCTATCCTATCATATTCCCGCTCCCGCCTCCCCTCGAAGCTGGAGCTCACTTGTTTGTCTTTTGGCGCTCGCTGAACTATACTATACCTGGGAACAGCTACCTGCTCTACGTCACTACATTTCGTGCGTAATTTTCATTACAACAGGGTATTTCAATCTCGGGTTTCAGCCTCCCTCTTCATCGATCGTGTCAAGGTGAACAGCGAATTGTGGCAAAAAGACTTTAAAAAAAACGCCATCACACTACAACCGTGCCATCGACATGTCCTTGGAATCGACTCGTCCGCAAGCACCCGAAGTGTTGGACCAACTGTTGTGTTCCGTCGAATGGCTACGGAGCGGCAATATGCATCGCTTCGCGGAGGACTTCACCGTCCCCGCTCTTGCGAAGCAAGCACTGTCTCAGGCCGTTACTGATTTCGTGCGGCTTCGGGACGCACTTGCCGCAGCTGACGAGCCTCCTCACCTCCCCGATTACGTTGCTCGCAGCGGTGCGCGTGCTGGGAGGCTTACTTCAGCGCGTGCCGCGCTGCCAGCTCCCGGGGAGGCTGCCACTGCAGATATCATGCAACTTCTGCCCATGGATGAACGGTCCCTATTATTAGACGGGAACTGTCTTGCTGCGTGTGCGCCGTCATCGGACGCGCTCAAGGGTCTGCCCGTCTTCTGCAACGTTAAGGACGGGGACTACGTCCCTCTCCTTCGCCGTATGTACGCGGCAGGAATGATTCATATGTTTGCGTCTGGATCTGGGGTACAAGAGAACGGTATCTTTGGGATTGCCAAGACGCAAGAATCGAATGGACCTCAACGGGTTATATGGGACGGTCGCCGTTCGAATTTGTATTTCAATCAAGAGCTGGCGTCGGTTGTTCTCCCGTCGCCAGACATGCTCGGGGAAGTTCATATTGATTCGTCTCAGTCCCTTTTTACGTCCACTTCCGATGTCAGTCAGATGTACAACCGTCTAAGAGCCCCCCGCTGGTTATGGCGCTACTTCGGCTTAACTCGCATCTGGGGACCGACCTATGACTCTACTTTGGAAGCCGACTTTTACTATCCTGCACTCAAAGTCATTCCTATCGGTTTGTCCCTTGCCGTACGTTTTGCCCAAGCCGTACACTTAGAAATCCTCAGACGCGCTGGCGT